AATTCCTACCCATTTGAGTGGCCTTCAAGAATGGACTGTAACTCTGCTCAGTCTAAAGTGGGGAGAGGGGGAGACAGGCTTTTCATTTAACCAACCCCCCCCCCTCGATCAAGAGTAAACATTGTTCCTTTCACAAAGGAGCAGATTGTATTAGCTGGGAGATCAAGATAGAAGGATAGACTCCTATGAGCAGAAGGCAAACGGGATGTGAATATAAATTCTGCAAATATTTTCTTTCAGCCGCTGTGCGTAATCCCAGGAAATGGATCCAGTTTCGTTGCTGGAGGTGGGGGAGAGGGTAGCACTCTGCATTCCAGTTGCCACAGGTTTCTTTGTGACTGTTTAAATATTTCATCCTTTGCGGGGGGGCGGGGACCTTTCTTCAGACATTATTTAACCCTGCTCATATCTGGGGGAAAACACACACAAAAGGAAGCAGCAAGAAAAAATGGCAACAGGTATAGGTTTTTGTAATGTGGGAATGGTTATCGTTCAAGATAACAGAAGTGAAAATAGGGACACTTTTGTTTTCAGCACCCCCTTTTTTGCACAGGAACAAAGGAAGCCAGCCCTATGTCAAGTCAAACCACTACTCCATCAACCTCCATCAACTGGAATATCTGGTTGGCCGCTGTAAGAACAAATGGTGGATGAGCCTTTTGTCTGATGCAGCTTTTATTTTGTTCAGTATTTTTTTTTTTTTAATAATAATATTTATTCAAAGTTTAAAGTTACAAAAAGAAAAAAGAACAATACAAAATACAAAAAAGAATATAACAATGACAGAGAGAGAGAAAGAAAAAAAAAAGAAGGTATAAAAATACATTCAATTGAAATAGAACAAGAACAGATTAAACCTTTACATAACTTTTTTCCTTTACTTATTTCCTTGACCTCCTCTCACCTCCCAATTTTGTATTCTAGTTCAGATCGTTTTTCAGCAAATCCTTCCAACCTTATTTTCATTTACGTAGTTTAATTTAAAGTATTATAATTTAACATCCTCTCTTTCATCAATTTCATCAACTCATTTTTGCTTAATCCTTTATATCATATCTACCAAAACTACCTAATTTTCTTTTTCCAACATCTTTCTAACAGTCTTATTTTGTTCAGTATTGTCCACAGTGGCAGGCAGCGGCTGTCCAGTGTTTCAGATGAGGGAAATTCGCAGCTCTGCCTGGAATTGTCTGGGACTGAGTTCTGAATGCAAAGCAGATTCTCTATCACTGAGCTGTGGCCTTTCCCCTCCAGAAATATAGAAAAATACAGAAATGCTCAAACACAGGAAGTATCAGTGCTTGGTCTCTCTCCACAAACCCCACCCTCAATCAGAACATGATTCCTACAAACCAGATGTTGCCATAGGTTTCAGAGAGCCTCTTAGTTGCTCTTTCAAAAAACCGGTGAGAGGCACGATCTCGTCTTTTATTCAGGTTTCCCAGAGTTTCTCTTGAGCTGGGTGGGCTCAATTGCATTAGACCACAATGTTTCTCAAGGCCCGCTATTCCATCTGACAGAAGCCATGAGGCAGCACTGTGGTGGTGTATGTGGTACACCACATCATTAAGATGCTCTCGCTGGATCCAAAAAAGGTTTCTATCATACACTTCAAGTTACAAACGCCAGCATCTGCCAGGTCCGCCAGATGGCTTCCATTAGAGAGGCCCAAAGTGGTGCCAGTCTCAGGTCTATTTGGCACATGAAAGGGGTGCATTTTATGGGGCAATGTAGCAAATAGAGTCAGAACAAGAAGTAATTATAAAGGACTGCCACCAATTTGAAGGTGACCCAGAAACTACAATTAATATCAGAATGTGGCAGCTAGACTGGTGACATATAACTCTGGTCCTGAAAGACCTACTTTGGCTCCTAGTAAGTTTCTGAGCACAATTCAAAGTGTTGGTGCTGACCTTTAAAGCCCTAAATGGCCTTGGCTCAGTATGCCTGAAGGAGTGTCTCCACCTCCAGTGTTCAGTCCGGACACTGAGGTCCAGCTCTGAGGGCCTTCCGGTGGTTCCCTCACCCCGAGAAGTGAGGTTACAAGGAACCAGGCAGAGGGCCTTCTTGGTAGTGGCACCCACCCTGTGGAACACCCTCCCATCAGATGTCAAGGAAATAAACAACTCTCTGACTTTTAGAAGACATCTGAAGGCAGCCCTGTTTAGGGAAATTTTTAAGGTTTGATGTTTTGTTGTGTTTTTAATATTCTGCTGGGAGCCACCCAGAGTGGCTGGGGAAACCCAGCCAGATGGGCAGGTATAAATAATTTTATTTATAATAATATTATTTATATTATTATTATTAGTCATTCATGACTGATTTGGCTGCATGTTTCACATTTATAAATAAAGACCGGGCAGGGGGTGGGCTTATATTTACACTATAGGTTGCCTCAGGGATCTCTGACAAGTGCAAATAGCTTTCAGTTCAGCGCCCATTGGTTATAGCCATTTAGTTTCTGCAGTGTAGGAGGGTGAAGCAGATAGGAGGATGGGATGAAACTCAAACCAACACTCTGTTTTCTTGCAGGTATGCTATAACTAGGTCCATTTCAGTTTCTTTCTGCTTCTATTTTTCCAATCTTAAATTCAATGGCCCACATTTGTTCTGCAATCTGCAATTTTTATTTTTAATTTTTAAAAATGTAATGGAAATTCACATTTTATTGCAAATTTCACAAATTGACATATGTTGATGATGATGATGATGATGCTATGCCTCACCTGGAGAAAAGCCTCAGATGATGACCACAGAGGTTTGGATGGGAAGAGGTAATCATGCAGGAAGATGCAAACATGTGTGTAGCGAAATAAACAATAGATAGCTGCACTGGTGAAGGAAGAGGAGTGGGGGGGGGAGCGCATTGCCCCCGGCAGCGCAATCTTGGTGGGGTGCCATCGTGGCTGCTCCCCCGCCCGTGCTGGGTGCCAGGCCCCCAGGACTCATGCCCCACCCCAAGACACATGCCCTGCCGCCAGGACACGCACCAGCCCCGCCGCCGCCTGCTCTCCCCCCCCCCTTGCTGGAGCATGAAGCTCCGCCACTGGTTAGCGGGCCTCACCTGTGGGCCAAAAAGTTGCTGTGACTTCTGTTTTAACGTTATCTCTGCCTGCAACCTGAACATGGATTAATGTAGACAATTAAATGGGCTTGTGTGGAAGAGGAACTAGATAAAGTGGTATGTTGTTAAGATCCACAGAGAAGCAAATCCCTACCATCACAAGAATTCAGTATGCAAGAAAGATGACATCAGGTGACTGACAGGTGGGTTGCCCTGCCTACCTGTCAAAGTCGCTTGTGCACCCAACAGTCAGCTGGTTGTCGGGTGACTGGGAACTGCAGCACAAGGGGCTTTGTTGAGCATAAGGTTGGCAAATCTGCTTTCTGCAGGAATTGGCTGTGTGATCAAGTTACCCATTGCAGGTCTTCAAGCAGCAATTGGACAGCTTGGGGGTATCTTAACGCTGACTTTTCTGCTTCATGCAGCGGGTGGTTGAACTCTAAAACTATATGTTTTAATTGGAAGGGGGGGGAAAGATGACTTCAGCTCTTGAGAGAGATGGGGAGCTGAGGGGTAGAGCATTTTAGACAAAACACTCAAGAATGTCCATAGAAACATCATGATAAGAGGCTGTGTGACAGAACTCCATTGTTTACACTAATTCTCCCTTTGTTAGGGACCCCTCTGTTTTAAATTTTCCACCTTAACTTTGCTCCCAGGTTTTTCTATTATTGCCACCCTAGGTTTCCATAGAAATAACCAGCTCAGGGGAACAAAGGACTGTTGACGACGCAGAGCAAGGTGCAGAATGCAGAATGAGTTGCATCACAGCATCACCAGAGATGGGAGGATGGAATGGATGGACCACTGGTTTGTTCCAGTCTGACAGCCTCCCAGCTGTTATTCAGGAGCTGAGAAAAGGATTAAGAAAAATGCCCAATTACAATTTTCTTTCTGTCTGTTGCACATTCTTTTTAGTCTTTTGGCAACTAGTGAAGCAACTGTGTCTAGAATCCTCTTAATCACTCCTCCCACCCAGCAATAACACAATAGCTGGGATGATGCTCCTTTGCGCCTCCCCCCCCCCCACTTCAGAGCTTAAGAATGCAGTTCTTTCACTTCACCACATCACTAGTAAATTGATTTGCAGAGGCATTTGCCTAGACTTTTCAATACCAGCATATTGCATACGTATTGTTCTGCCTGGGGCAGAAGACCAAAGGCCTCCCTGCAACCAGGTCAAGATGCAGAGTAACCGAGGTCAGTCAAATTTCTTTGGGATCCTACAAACCCCTCTTCCTTTCCCCAGCAAATAGCTGCTTCTGCTGCTTCTCTTCTTGTTGTTGTTGTTATTACTACTGCTACTATTTGGTGCAGTTACCTGAGGCAACCACTTAACTCTACCCAATGATAGGGCCAGCTCTGCCTACAAGGAAAAGAACAGGGACCCCACTTCCAACTCAGAAACAAAAATTCCTTCAATATGGTTGGCACCATGAGCTCCCAGGTTAATCCTTAGACGAGTCTGAGATGGTGGCAATGGACAGAGGAGTGAGCTTGAACTGTGTTGGAAGAGCTGTGACAAACTTTGAGGATGCTATTAAAATACTGCGCCTTGTCAGTGTAAAGATTTCTACTTGCTCAATGGGCCATTCCTCCATTCTCTCCTGTATGTCCCATGCTCTCCCCAAATCTGCTCCCAAGGGGTGGGGGAGCCCCTAGGACAGATTTAGTGGGCATTGGAGGAGGGAGGGAAGAGGGAGTACCTTCTCTGGTGCAAGCAGAAGTCTTTGCACAGATGAAACATTCATACACAATCATAGAATTGCAGAACTGGAAGGGGCCACAAGGGTAATCACCATAATAATCATCATAATAATATATTATTTAAAGCCTACCCATCTGGCTGGGTTTCCCCAGTCACTCTGGGCGGCACCCAAAAGAATATTTAAAACATGATAAATCTAGTTCATCCACCTGCAATGGAGGAATCTTTTGCCCAATATGGGCCTCAAACTCACGAACCCCGAGATTAAGAGTCTCATGCTCTACCGACTGAGCTATACTGACACAGTGTTGCATAGGATATAAAGCTGAAGCTTTAACCCTTGTTGAGCTTCCAGTGATGCCATCAGGAGCAGGGGTTGCCAATGGGCAGGGTTGAGTCCTGGTTGGAAAGGGTTGGAATAGGCTGTAGGGAGGCATCAGGCAGCCTGCACACATGTTTTTGAGATATCTGGCATCACAGAGACTACAAACAGAGTTGGGTTCATTTTCAGATGTCTGCTGAATTAATCCTTTTATCTGATTAACTTAGAATCTGATGTAGGGAGTCCACCGGTCACCCATTATTGGAGGGCACATGGAAATTCTACATTACATTTGCTGCTGCTGCTTGTTGAAGGCAGCTAGTACTGATATCTCACTATCTTGCACTTTCCAAGTTCATTAATGTCAGATCAAATTTCCTGGAACTAAAACTCAGTTTGCTATAGTTGTATGGTGAACAGTCATTTTACACTGGCCTGGATGACTGCACTCGGATTTCTGAGAAAAATCGTAACTGAGTTATCCAGATCATTATGGAATAGATTATCCTGGTCCTTAGATGCATAGTTTGTCTAAGGGTTTGGCATTTTCATCTTCACAAACTATTGATTTTGCTAAGTGAATTTCCCTTTGCTATTTGGTACTCACGAGACTTTATGTAACATGTTTTGTATAACTTGTGTTTGTTAGAAGTATGTGCTGCATATGTCCTGGCAGTGGAAGGAAGTGTCTCTTAGATTCAATAAAAGTTGTCAAGAATTAACCAAAGCCAACATTGCTGAAACAAACAAGTTGGCTATATCAGTTAAATGACAATGGGTTTGGAGCTGGATAGGAGACAACAGTGTAAAAAAAAAGCCATTTAGGTTGCATAAACCCAAATGTAGGGCGTGTAATTCATGGAAATTAAAAATACTACTCTAGTTGGCATTGGTTAAGCCTCTCTGTAGTGTTGTTGCTGGTTTTGATCATTGTCTGAATAAGGATGCAAGAAAACTGTTTTTTTCCCCTCCTGTTCAGCACAATATGGTATGAGGAAAGGAACTTCAAAATTTCAGTTTTTGGATCAAAGGAAGTACTTTCAAGGGGTGGAAATATTTTTTAGAATTTTTTGGGGGGGGGAGAGAACACTCACTTGTTCTGACCATTTTCCCACTAGCTGTTATTTCTTTTTCTTTGGTGGTTCACAGCGGTGGAGCTTGTCTTCAAGGGGCCCAGGGTGGGTGGCTGCACTGGGTGTTTGTGTAGAGGGTGACATGAGGAGGATGCAGTAGGGCAGGCCCACACCCTTCCAAACAGTCGGATTGGGCTGATTTTAAGGGCGCATGCCTGCTGCATCCTCCTGGCGTTGTCCTGCCAGCCCCATGCTGCTTTGCAAGGCTGGGGTGTGAGATCAGACACACAAAGCAGCGCAGGGCTGGCAGGGGCAGTGTGAGGAGCAAAATGCGCCCTAAAAAACCCTTAAAAAACCCTAAAAAACCCTGTGTCCGATGCAATGCCCCCCCCCTCCTTGCTCTGACTCTGCACTGGCATGCAGGGGCAGATCTGCTATGAAACTATTCTACTTCAGGGCCCCTAAACTCAGAGGGGCCCCAGAAGCAACCTTAATCCACATTGCTTAAATTTTTTTGGGTCTAGTAGACCCAGTCCGAGTTGCACAACTCAGATTGCTTGTTGTTGTTGTTGTTGTTGTTGTTGTTGTTGTTGTTGTTGATATTTCAACAGTCTCAAAACTTGAGAGCCAGACTCCCATAAAAGTGCCTGGCTTAAAACCGTCTATCAAAGACTCCACTCTTGTGGCCTATCCCCACAACACCTACTCACTATGGGCCCCACTAAAGCAAACAGTCTAATTAGTCAACGTCTAAAAGACCGAAGGTACATTCTTTCACGTTTGGTGGACGTGCCCAAGGATTAAGGCTTTCTGGGAAATGATATATAATGAACTGAAAAAGGTATTTAAATATACCTTCTTGAAGAAACCAGAGGCCTTTCTCCTGGGCATAGTCGGCCAACTGGTGTCAAAGAAGGATAGAACTTTTTTTATGTATGCCACAACAGCAGCAAGAATACTCATTGCAAAGTATTGGAAGACACAAGATCTACCCACTCTGGAAGAATGGCAGATGAAGCTGATGGACTATATGGAACTGGCAGAAATGACTGGCAGAATCCGAGACCAGGGAGAAGAGTTGGTGGAAGAAGAGTGGAAGAAATTCAAAGATTATCTACAGAAATATTGTAAAATTAATGAATGTTAGAATGATGTTGGATAGAAATTAAGTGGTTTCCAGCTGTAATGCTTTAAGGGAATATAAAAAAGGGTTATAAAGAGGTAAAAATCTAATGCTATTATTTTTAAGATCAAGGATTAGGATAATTAAAGAGGGTAAGGATTTGCTGAACCAACAGATTGAAGTGGAATACAAAAAGGGACGTATGAGGAGGTCCGGGAAACAAGCTAAAGGAAAATAAGTAATGGAAAATCTGTGTGTTTTTAACCATTTTTATTTTGTATTTTTGTTATTTTTTTCACTTTTATTGTAATATTTTAATTTTTTTAAATAAATATCTTATAAAAAAATAAAATAAAAGATATTGAGCATCAGAACAACCTGGCCACTATAAGGAAATTCTGCCCTTGGTATGTTTATTTTCCACCTTTCCATTTTGATTCTCTGGCCCCATATCTGCACAAACTTATTATCCCCAAATACAGACGTGCTTTTACACTTGCAAGACTGGATGTTTTGCCATCTGCGGTACTTGAGGGTCGATTCCAAAAGATCCCGTCTGAGAACCGTCTTTGCCCCTGTGGAGATGGTAGCACCGAAACAGTGGCACATGTCCTCCTGTCTTGCACTCTCTACAAAGACCTGAGGAACGAGATCATCACCCCACTTGTACTAACCACCCCAGGGCGCTCAACCACTGCCACAATGTCCTTTCTTCTATCAGATCAAAATGAGCAGATAACAGCAAAGGTTGCTAGGTTCATAGCAGGGGCAATCAGAATAAGGGCCACTAACTTACTGCTGATTCAGAACTTTAAATTGTGCTCTTATATCAGATTTCCCTTTCTGCGTATACTGTAATGTTTTATTGTTGCTATGGCCATTGGCTAATGCGAATAAAGTTTTTATCTTATCTTATCTTGAGAGCCAGTAGCACAAATGTTGTAAAGGTGTGGTGATCTGCTGTGGAACAACTCCATTGCAGAAGGTAAGAGTGGTTTGTTGTTGTTTAGTTGTTTAGTCGTGTCCGACTCTTTGTGACGCCATGGACCAGAGCACGCCAGGCACTCCTGTCTTCCACTGCCTCCCGCAGTTTGGTCAAACTCATGCTGGTAGCTTCGCGAACACTATCCAACCATCTCATCCTCTGTCGTCCCCTTCTCCTTGTGCCCTCCATCGTTCCCAACATCAGGGTCTTTTCCAGGGAGTCTTCTCTTCTCATGAGGTGGCCAAAGTATTAGAGCCTCAGCTTCAGGATCTGGCCTTCCAGTGAGCACTCAGGGCTGATTTCCTTCAGAATGGAGAGGTTTGATCTTCTTGCAGTCCATGGGACTCTCAAGAGTGGTTACCCAGACCCTATTGCTGGTTGCGAAAGGATGGCAGTCCATGCTTCAGGGCCCCCCAAATGTAGGTCTGCCACTGCTGGCATGCACCGTGTCCTTTTCATCTTACATTATATGAGTTATTTCAGTGGTGAGCCCATCACTGTCTCTTAGCCTAACCTACCTCACAGGGTTGTTGTGAAGATAAAGTGGGGAGGAGGAAAACTGTGAAGGTCACTTTTAGCTCCTTGGAGAACAGATGGGATGTCAAAGGAAGAGTAAATAAATAAATGGGCCTAAAGGACAGAAATATAAGGCTGAATGTCATGGAGAGTTTGAAAGCAAGGACAAGAAGTCTGTGCTAGATATGGGAGCGGAGAGGAACATTGTGCAAGGATGTGTTCATTAGAAATGATCACGTAGATGTGCAAATGTTTTTGTGGGTTGTTTTTTTTATATATAACTCCTACACAGGAGTGGCATCAGTGTAGGAAAATCAGGCCTCAAGCAGCCCCGAGAGGCTGAGAGGATTCAGATAACCATGTTTGCTGTTTTTGGAGCAGGGTATAAAACCCCATCGTCTGCAGAGTAAGTTGAAACAAAACACGTTTATTAAAATGTAGTAAAAACCAGAGTTTGTTTGTTTGCTTTAAAATGTCAGATACATAGGAGCACTTTTTCTTTTGGCAAAAAATTAAAATGTACGATATTGATTGACAAACCGTGGCCATAATTCAAATGAATGGCTTGTATGTCCTATAACTTTTAAAAAAGAAGATGGAATATTTATCTTCTCAATGGAATGAATCAACTGATAATTTTGGATATAGTTTAATTATTCCATACCGGCATTATAGCCTTGCTAAAAGTTTCCAGCTGAGACCAAGGCTTTACTGAAGTTGGATGGCTTTTCCTTGAAGTTTCCTTTGAGCAGTTTAAAAGTTATTTTGATGGGTTTGCAGCAAAGATGCCAAGACTTATGTCATTTGTTGTAGCTGCGATGTTATCCTCAATGCTTATTAAATCATAAACTCCGCTACTAATGTGTGCTACAGACTGAGAGGCCATAATGCATGTTCCATAATTGTGTAGAATTATGAATGAAACAGAATCTCTGGATAATCTCTCACAGTTACAAATCAAGTCTGTGGGAAGTAGTAGCACAAACAGAAAAGGACACCTACCATTCCCAATGAATGTGCATTGAGAATTAATTGCATGTTCACATTTGCATTCATGGTTTCCTCAGAATTTTTACCCTTGCTTGTTTGTTTAACCCAAAACCACTGCAGGAAGCCACTTTGAATCAGGAATGGAAGTTTGGGTAACGGGAAGAGGATGCTTATTTCTATTGCTGCATGCCGTCTATCAAGTAATGGACAAGCATTCTGCTACCAGGGTGAGGTGGGAATGCATGACCAGATCTCACATTTTAATTTTAACTTGGAGTGGTCCCATACTATGCATTTACTGTGGAACAGCGACCCCTTCTTTATTCAATCTTTTCAGGGCATCTATATATTATCATCAAACCCTTCCTGTGTTTTCCCTGAGCTCTTTCCGAGCTGAATCCAACAAAGCTTGTGTGTGTGTTTTACGTTGTAAATTCCCCTATGGTCTCTTGATGAAGGATGGCATATACATTTAAAGAAGAAGAAGAAGAAGAAGAAGAAGAAGAAGAAGAAGAAGAAGAAGAAGAAGTCACTCTGTGAGCAGAACAATTTCCACTCACAGAACCCTCCTTCTCCTCTCACAGTGTATGGCCCTCCAAATCAAATTTCCTCCAGCGAGATTCCTCAAAGCAGAATTGAGGGGGAGTGCAGGGACTGAGCTGTGGGAGGAGAGGGAGGGAAAGTTTTGTTGCGCAAGTGGACATTGTTCCGTTTCTGCAATGTGTTAGTTGGACGTCTTGTTAAAGTCTGCGAGGAAACCAACTTTTTGGAAAGAACTGAACAGTAGCACAATCTTTACAGGTGTAGCCAACCTTAGCATTACTGTTCCATCTTTTTCGATTCAGAGTTGTGAGTTTCCAAACAATAAAACACAGAGGAACCATGTACATGCGTGTGTGAATCAGACATAAGAAGCTGCTTTGTGCATCAGAGGCCTCCTGTCCTTCAGCAATGAACTATGGATTTGTATAACTGGTTGCTGTTCTATTTCAGCACTAGGTGAACATCCAGATGGATCCCATTCTTATTAATGGTTCAATACACATTTTGACTGCAGGCCAACAGGCGTTCAGCAGATGGGATTTTTCTTGAGGCTTGCTGAACTTGTAGTGACCTGAGATTGAAACATGTATTGAGCCATTTACAAGATGAAAATATGTGTGGGGTTCCGTGATGAGGGGTGGCTACAGAATGCCACCTTATCTTGGAAAAATAACAATAACAAAGGTCATAGGAATCATTCATCAAACAGTTCTGATTGGGAGACTGTGTTAACATGGCTAAAACTAAGTTTGTGCCTACTGGAATAAAGCACACAAAGTTTTGTGTGACTTACGTTTCAACAGGAGCGGGCAGTGTGGTGGGGCAGCACCATTTGCCTCCTGTCCGTCATGTTGCTGCTGCTTATTGGGATGGGGAGCAGTGAGGTGGTGGTGATGTTAGTGCAGTGCAAACACACCAGCAGGAATGCTGGATTAGCTCCATCAGTGCATTTGCACCACAGCAACCTTGCCACCAACTCATCCCTCTCCCTCAACTACCTGGTAAGCTGCAGCAGTGTGACGGGCCAGAAGTCTAGGATCTTATTTATTTTTTTACAAAATTATTTGAAAGTTTCTGCAACCACCCCTGTTCACCGATTGCCACCAAAAAAAGCATCTTTGTAAACGGCAGGCAAATTTATGATATATGCAGAATTGACAGGAAATCAGTCCTGTCAATTGGAATGTTCTTTTGCAAACTACACTGGGCTATTTACTTATGTAATGATGCCCCATCCAATTTGCATCAACTGAGGACTGGAGCCATGCACGTTTCCCCCTCCCAGTGTGGTGTACTGGTTAAGAGCTGTAGACTCGTAATCTGGTGAACTGGGTTCGCTTCCCCGCTCCTCCACATGCAGCTGCTGGGTGACCTTGGGCTAGTCACACTTCTCTGAAGTCTCGCAGCCCCACTCACCTCACAGAGTGTTTATTGTGGGGGAGGAAGGGAAAGGAGATTGTTAGTCGCTTTGAGACTCCTTCGGGTAGTGTGATAAAGTGGGATATCAAATCCAAACTCTTCTTCTTCTTCTTCTTCTTCTTCTTCTTCTTCTTCTTCTTCTTCTTCTCCCCTTGAAATTGCTGTAAAAAATTGCTCTCTTTCTTTTGGATGAATGCAGTGAAACCAAATGAATTCAGCCCAGGAAGGAGGGTGAATGTTATAGACTGTAGCAAGCATCTTCATCACCTGTGGTAAATGGTTACCACCAGAATTAGTGGTGGGATCAGGCTGGAACACAAGACGTTCTTCTTTTTGCAATACAGAACTAGAAGATTTATATTGCACAGCCTGTGATGCTAGATGTTGCTGGACTACATATCTCATCATCCATAGCTATTTGCCATTCTGGATGGGACTGATGGAAGCTGGAGTCCAGCAGCTTATAGAGAGGCACTGGTTCCCCTCACCTGATTCCAGTAGTGGCCATTATGGTGGGGCGAAGCTGCAGAGCCACCCTCCATATACGAGCATCCCTGCAAGTTATCTGGATAGAGTAGGGCAGAGCAGCAGTGAGGTTGGGGTTGTGGAGGTGCAATAGCAGGAGAGCTGATTTAGCTCCACCAATATACCTGTGCAGTCCCTCTGAGCCACTGCCCGGGTCAGTATTGTAGGATGGACAAGGATGGTGGAAGCAGCTGAGCCTGGCCAGCCCTGGAGGAGAAGCACCTCTGTTTGCAATACTAGGGGCTATAAGGTTCTTCCACTGATGTCACCCACCCACAGCAGCACACATGGCAGCGCAGGGACATAGGGAGCTGCCTTCTGCCAAGTCACAGCCTTGATCGCTCTAGTCCAGCATTGTCTACACTGACTGGCAGAGGCTCTGTGGAGTTTCAGACTGGCAAAATTCATTGAGGTGCCAGTGATCAAAACTGGGACCTTCTATGGGCAAAGCAGATGTTCTGCCACTGAACTATGGCACTTCCTATATCCATTAATGGACACATCAGAAGCAGAACCCAAAGTGGTAAGGTTAGATGCTAGATGAAGAGGCAGCAGTAGCTGTCTCAGCCAATGCTTCTCCCACAAGAAGAACAACAAGAAGAAAATACTGGTATCAGTCCAGGTGGTCTTCCAGGGTCCTGAAGTGGGCCCTGGCATTTGACCAACTGTGCCTGGTGCCTACCCTGAGTCTGTCAATGCACAGACACAATATACATCTATACAGTAGATACTGGGGCATACAACAGTGGAAGCCTGCTTTCTTCATGCTCTGTTTGAGTGCTTCCTTGACTCACTTGGTTACAAAATGCTGGACAAGATGGACCTTATGTCTGATCCATAAAAAACCTAACATTTGTATGTTTTTATTGGCAGAGGTTTTTGTAGCTGAGTATCACATGCAGAGGGAGTTGGGATGAGTCGAGACAGAAGACTGTGATATAAAAAGCTCCCAGAAGCTGTAGCAGATGAGGATCAGGGCTGCCAGGAAACACTTTTTTTGGTATGAAGAGTATCGTGAACTTGGAGAGCATGTTTTCAGGGTCTGTGTATTGGAGCAGATTTGGGAAGGAGTAGATGGAGAAGTAGACAGCTTCCTGATCCGTAAACTGATAATTTTTGGAGTATAACTGAAGTTGGATTGTCTGATCTCTCATTTCAGTTCTGGCCTATTGGGTTTGTTGGGTGGTTTGTTAAAACAGGTACGAGGTACGAGGCTGGGAAGAGTGCTACACAAACCAGCAAACAGTTGTCTTTTAAAACAGGTTTTGGGCAGCTGGGGTTCATGGGAGTTGTAGTTCAGCAACATCGGGAGGGGCAAAGGTTCCCCACCCATTTTTAGCAACATCTGCATAGCTGTCAGAGGTTCAACAGGTGAAGCTTTGCCCATCACTGAGTTGCAACAATAAGGGGCATTTTATCTGCTGAAAATGTTCTGCCTCTGGCTATGGAGGCCTCCTCTTTCTTTAAGGTTTTTGATGAAGATGATGGCTTTTTTTGATGTGATGGCAGCAAAACGGTTACATATTGATTACATTGTCATAGCAACAGGTCTTGAGCCAGTCAGAGGCTAACTGCATTACTTCATTAAATTAGGGACTAAGCATGCACGGGAAATTTTTCTACTCTTGTGCCTGGCCCCTCCAAATACCATACCAAATACTACTCCCCTTCTAAATCATGGATGTGTTTCATATCACCAGTTGAATAAGACATCTGTTCATATTTCTGAAAACTGTCAGAAATGGAGAGAATAAGAGAAAACATTCCCCTTGAGGAATATGTGCTTTCATGCTCCAAAGCTATTATGGATTTCAGCTGCAATATTCTCACTGACAAGAGTCAGTTGCTGTTTGCAAGGCATTCTTGGTGAAAAGGAGCACACAGGGTTCTGAAATATCTGTATCCCTTTTATTCATCTTCTGTGTTGTTTGTTTGTCTTACATTCTGTTTATGCATGATTGTGCAATTGCAGTCATCTGCATATAATCATATATGCTTGTGCGGGTATGTCTGTGCAGATGAGCTCTGGCAATGATATGCATTCCAGAAAGGATATGATTGTCTCTGTTGTTGTCATTTTTTAAACAGAAGCATTTTTAACCTTCATAGTTGATAAGGAAAATACACATTAAGATGATAAGCAGATGAAGGGAGGAGGACTGGGGCACTGAAATTATTTTTTCTTTTGAGGGTGCTGTGTAGCTCTGTAGACTCTGAGACATGCGGTGCACCCTTACAGGATTCCTATGAGTGAGGACCAAGCATGTTTCCCTTTGATGTAGTAGTGTCCAGACTGCAGCAGTTTGTGTTTCTGCATAGGTAAAGGTAAAGGGGCCCCTGACCATTAGGTCCAGTCATGGCCGACTCTGGGGTTGTGGCGCTCATCTCGCTTTACTGGCCAAGGGAGCCGGCGTACAGCTTCCGGGTCATGTGGTCAGCATGGCAAACCAGAGCAGCACACGGAAATGCTGTTTACCTTCCCGCTGGAGTGGTACATATTTATCTACTTGCACTTTGACGTGCTTTCGAATTGCTAGGTTGGCAGGAGCAGGAACCGAGCAACGGGAGCTCACCCCATCGTGGGGATTCGAACCGCCGACCTTCTGATTGGCAAGCCCTAGGCTCTGTGGTTTAACCCACAGCGCCACCCGCGTCCCTCGTTCTCCATAGGACTGAATGGCAAATATTTGATTACGGATGAATACAGACATATTTTCTCCATAGGAATGAATGGTGCACATTCATTCTCCATAAGAGTGAATGGCAAGAAACTCTTATGCGTGAGGACAGAGGTAGTTTCATCACAGCGAAAACACCCCCCCCCAGCACTAGCACTTTAAAGATGAACGCATTAATTGTGGCATTAGCTTTTGAGGGGCTCAAGCCCACTCCATCAGATGCAATCCATGGTAATCCACAAAAGCTTATGGGATAGCATATCTGCTCACCTCTAAAGTGCTACTTGAAAATTGTTTCATTTCTGCTGAAAGCAATGGCTAATTGGCTGTCCCTTTGATTGAGATGGTGCCAGACTAATGTACCCTGCACCACACAACGAGTCCATTAACAGGGAGGAGGATTTTAAAGTTAGGTCTCCAGATCCTTCAGTATGCTTGTTTTTTTTTAAAGGTATAAAGACAAGGAGGCTCTTACCAACTGGCTTAGTGAGAAAGAAAATGCGTAGGCAGTATTCTAAGCAAGCAAAGGGTAGTGCACCTTAAGTGGTTTAGCTATTCCTGGCAAAGCACAGACTCCTCTCTGACAGACCTGAGCAGAGAAGACAGATGATTAGGAACCATGAGCCCCTGAAATGAATAGCGTGTGCATGTGCAGAGTATTCCAAAACAGGTATCCTTTCTATAAATAGGGCATCTTATAATCACCCCGGTAGAAGAGTCTGCTGGATCATGCCAAAGATCCAGCTAGTCCAGCATTCTGTTCTCACAGTAGCTAACCAAACACACACACACACCACACACACACACACACACACACAGAGAGAGAGAGAGAGAGAGAGAGAGAGCGCATTTTTTAAACCTAAAGTAAACCAGGAATGCAAACATCCCAACTTCTCTCAAACTTCAAGTCACACACATATTTATGGTATCCAAAGCAAAAAAAGAACACCTTCAGTTCCAAAAACACACAGGCGCCAAAAGTTCCAACACACAAAGAAGAAGAAGAGAAGAAGAAGAGTTTGGATTTGATATCCCGGTTTAGCACTACCCGAAGGAGTCTCACTACCACGATAGTGCCATTGCCGTCAATGCTGCCCCCTTGCTGCTGCATTGTAGAGGCAGTGTGGACGCAGCCACGGGCAAGGGTGCAGTTGCAGGATGGTGGCAGCTGGGCATGATGGGAGGGGCAGGGCAGGGCCCTGGATCTGCTGGGGGGCATCACCGTGGGGAAGAGGCAGCGCTACGGCATTTTGCCTACAGCAGCAAAATGTCTTTGGCCAGCCTTGATTGGACAGAGAAAAAGAGATTGACAGAAGCGCCTGGCCAAGGCTCTGTAAATTCATAGAAGCATAAAATATACGTGGGACAGGGAAGTATGCATGGCTCTGGGGTTTTTAGGAGGAGGAGGAGGAGTTTAAACGATGGCTTAACATTCTCTTTGGGAGGGCTATGCCCTAATAACCTAACTTGAAGAGTTTCCAATGTCTGTGTGTCCTTCCAGCTTCAAATAAATGAATCTGCCTCTGTGCATGAATGCTGAAAGGGCAGAAAAGCACAGCTTATGTGTCTGAGATGCACGAGGTCCCAGAATATCATTCAACACAGAGCTCGCTACACTGAATCCTGGCACGAGGCCACGGTGACCTTTCATTCTACTTTTCCGTGCATATCCCAGAAACAGCATTTCCTAGTGGCGTAGTTGACATTTCCTGAACGGCCCAAAGGACCAATGAGTTCTGGCAGCAGAGGGTGGGAGCATGGGACGCAGATCAGAAGTGATGCGGCTTGGCACTTGGCAAAGCTTTCTGGGACAGTTTGTACAGTGCCTTCTCCTTGCACAATGGTTGTGTCTAGCCATCGCGGTCCAGCTCCCCTTTTTCATGAGCAAGCCGTTCAACCGAAAAGTAAACAGGAAAAACGTGACCATCTCAGATCTTATAAGTATCTGATCGTACGTTATTTATAACGCTACTTTCTCCGGCGTTCAGATTGCAACACAAAGCAGTACGTGACTGCTTTTTACATTCTGCATTTTTGACATAATCTGTGTAAAGGGTGAACAGTATGCTATCCCCCTTCAGGACAAGGAAGGCTCCATAGCTTTATCAGCAATGGTTTCTACCAAGATGCAAGGTGAGCAGCAGAGACTGATTTCGCCGTGAAATGTTTTCTGCACCTTTACACAGCAGCACTGCATAAGTCCACATGTAGTGTTGTAAGGTTGGGCGTTTGGACAGGAGAGATTAATGGAGGCAGAAAAACTGTTGGAGACTGCCATAACAGCCCCGGAAACAGGGGCAGCCAATGGAGAGGGGCACCATTACAAACCCGGCCTCCCATCATTAGCATCGCTGAGCTTTGGCTGCAACAGACTAACATGGGTTGGCTACCCATCTAGAAACTCCTTTGCTTGGAATGAAGCAGTTCAGTTCAACAAAGTGTACTGAATTAGTTCAAAAATCTCAAAATCTCAAACTACACCCATAATTACTGGGTAAGCTGATGGCCCATCCACACTTAACTTTTGCCCCCCGCTTTCTAGGCACAGACCCATATTTAAAGTGCTGTGTTTGAGTGTCTTTTTTCTTATGCCCTGGAGCTTTTCCTGCAAAAACCCACTCTTTATTGCTAAATTGGAACAAGTGGCAATTTGGGCAAGCACTGTACTGCTCAAGGAAGAGGGGTTTTCTTTTGTCTTTTTACATCAGAAGCTTCTACACAGAGACTGAAAGCCACCTATCGAGGATCCTGTTGCAGCAGATTTCCTGGGTTGTGTTACTACACAATCTTCCAGTTCTCTGGTT